TGAGCTCGGTTTGACGAAGGAGGAGTTTAGCTCTCTGTGGCCTTGGGCGTCCGGGTGGCGGCCTCTCAATAACGACGAGGTATCACTCACCTGGCTGGTGTTGCGGAAGGCCCTCTAGGGCCAGCAAAAAGCTCTGTGCAGCAGGCTTGGCAGTTACGCCAAACAGCGTGCGCTGCGGTGGGGCGGTTGAGTCCTTGGGACACATCTTCTTAGACTGCAGCGTCGTTCGGCCGTTGTGCAAACTAATTGAGGGCTACATGGTCCGCGTCCTAGGTGGAAAGTCCTTTGTCCTAGAAGCCAGGTCCGTATGTAGCAATGTTGTGCGTCAGTTGAAGAAGAATGAACACTATGTGTTCTTGTGCTTACTCGGCATTATGCGTGTCGTGGTTTGGACGACGCGACAGAAGGAAGTTCATGGAGGTGAGAAGTTTTTCCTCAACAGGTTTTGTTTTTTAAGCACCAGCTTAAAGTCAAGATTAGAGCGGAAAGGAGGCGACTCTCTTCATTGAAATTCGGCGAAAGGTGGTTGAATGCTTCGCGTTTGGTTCGCTTGAGAGGGGCTAATTTAGATTGGCATCTGGAGGTGACATAGGCTTAAGGATATTTCGCCTGACTTAAAACATTTGTCATGTAGGGATAAGTTAGAATCAGTCGTTTTGATTTTGTTTAATTAGCTTGTTTTTAACTTGGCTAGGGTGTGAATGGTCATTGGCCTCTTTATTTTTGCCTCCCAATTTTTTGGTTCATTCCCCCTTCCCTCTCCATTTAGATGATAGAGTTTGCAGTTCTCTGGTTAAACTGTGGAATGGCTTTTGTTTTCGAATGTGTAATTTCGTTTATTTCCGCAGTATTTTTCGCCCAGTATTTTTCTGCCATGTTTAGATTGTGGGGGATTATTTTTGTTTAGTTGTGTAAATAATCATAAACATTGGGGATTTATTAATTATTAACCCAGCCCCCACCCCCTCCACACACACACAAAAAGCTGTATATATGAGGATTAAGTAGAATTTCCTTAAGTGGATGTGGTATTGTGGTGTCTGTGTATGGCAGTATTGTGTGGATGAGATGTTTTGGTGAAAGAAACAATATTTGGACGACTGGGTTATTAAATGAGGCCAGCTAAGTTAGAAGTAAGCCAGTTGAAGACCAGCCTCCCCCTCCATTCCAATTTTGCCCTTGTGGCACATTTGTACTTTTGTACAATAAATACCCAAGCTGCTCGGCCTGGGGGCCTGGATCAAAGTGTAGTACGCTACCTTTGTGAGCTTCCGGTGTTTGTCGAGAGAATACTCTTCGGCGTGATCCCGTTTCCGTAGTTGATCCGCCCTGGAAGACGTATCACCTTTCTGACTTCAGCTTCATCAAGTGTTACACTTCGGCGCGATCCCGTCTCCGCGGTTGATCCGCCCTGGAAGTCGTATCACTACTCTGACTCGGCCCTGTTTAGGGACTTCGGCTTCGTCAAGTGCTACGCTTCAGCGCGATAGTCATATCACTACTAATCGACCTGACGAATCTTCGTTCGTCATCAATCAACCAGCTGTTGTCGCCAACAATTCTCCCATCCGGCAGTCGACCAGCTACCGCCACCGATCAACTATACACTCGTTTCGCCGATACAACTGAATCAACTTCCCCTGAAGGAAACCAGTCATAGCGGACCCGACACTGATACAAACATATTTCTCCATCAGTACACTCTTGTACATTTTGGATAAATAAAATCGACGTTTATTGTTTTTTTAAACTTCTGCCTTTGTCCCCTCATTGTCTTGGCTGTTCACACCTTTCTTCTAAAAGCTTGCGTGGGCGACATCCTTTGACTGACTTTCATTTTTTTACCTCGTATGAGAATTTACTCTAACAAAGAACACAGAATGATGTAATAACAATAATAGACATGTGCATTGGTACATAATAATCTTGAAGTGTCTCATTTTGACTGTTGAAAGCAATATTTTTTATTTTATTTTTATCAAAATTTGGTTGGAATCTTTAAAATATTTTTTAAAATAATCTGAGAATTTTGTTGAATGTTCATGTTATATTTTTTATATTTTTTAAGTATTTAATCTCTTTAAATTGAATGCTTTGGGAGTTCGAAAAATAATAATCACGAAAATTTCTCTTTGTATTGGATCGCCCCTGCTGTACCCTTTCAACATCTTTCGTTAATCCTCAATATCTCTGGAGACCTTTTGTCTTATATTTCTTTTGGCGAGAAGCGTTAACGTGGTTATTCATCATCATGGATTTTTAGTTGATTATCTACTAAGAGTAAAAAAAAACTGTAGTATGTCATTAGTCAGAAAACACACAACAAAAATGCTCCATTATATCAATAATATGTGTGCGCGGCGTAGGTAAAAAATTTCAAAACTCATAATAAAGTAATAAGCAATTTTGAAATAACGTTTAAGAGTAAACTGTATTCCTAACTAAATCCTATGAATAAACGTTTTATAGTCATGCTGCGGGTATAATCATCCTACAGATTGTGCAATAATTTCCTAATTAGCATTAGTAAATGGTTATTCACTAGCTATTTATTGGGTGACTAATCGTAACGATTGGTGTAAGTAATCTCAGCGTAAGAAGAAAACCAGTATCAAACATGTATTAAGAATTTGGTTCAATCTAATAGGCTTTTATTGGTAAGCTTACATAAAAATGCTACTTAGAAATTTGGTTACTAGTATTATCAGAAGATTGCAGTCTTTTTGTTCGAGTTGTCATTTGGAAAGGTTTTCGTTCCTTACATCATTCTTCCTTTCATGATGTCAAGAATATGGAATCATAGCAATAAATAAATTACCAAATAACATTCAATACTAGTCTATGTTGGAAATCAAAATAATTAATAATAAAAGAAAAATTAATAGTGAAGTAATAAAAATACTTTAAAATATAGATGAGGGTGATAATTAACAATAACGAAAGAAAAAGTTAGATTTTTTTAAAAAAAATAGTTAAATAAATACAGAATACTCTTATTATACACCGGAATAGGCGTTTTGCCGCCAATGGAAACAAAAATGAAATTTTCTTTTTCTTTGACGGCTAATATCCGGTCAATTTTACGGTAGAAAAAGTTGCTTCCAACATAAAGAACAGACATTTTATCTCTGTATATGTATTTTAAAATATACCATCATTTCGATGAAATGTAAAGCAATTTATCATTTTTGTCTATGATCTGCTGTATCTTTTATATGATTTATTTGTAATTTATATATTTCCGGTGTGGGCTGATGATATCTTTTCAACCTCCAAATAAAATTACATATATAAAAAAGAAGTACATTCAGACAAGGCCAACACATCACTAGGACAACCCACAACAAATATATTGAAATAAAAAGCTAGAGACATAAAATCTTGTCAAGCTTCATCTAGTATTTAAAGATATTGAAGCTAGCTTAATTAATTGTTATAAATGGATGTGTAGTTACTATTATACTATATTTATTATACGATATTACCATACTATATTATACTATACATAACTGACGTATAGTTATAATTTATTCTATTAGGGAATCATTACTAATCAACACTCAACCAACGACGTTAAGGCTTTAGGAATTTTTATGACGAAGTTTGTTTAAAGGGGAAAGCCATCCATTTATCCTTCTAAACAAAAACATCTTCCATACAAAAGTGAAAATGACCTTGATAATTTGAAATCCAAAGAGAACATATTTCTACTGGCATCGTTCTGTCTCGTAAGACAATGAAGTATGTGCCAGGAGTTGCTCTCTAGTCTATGCTTGAGTTGTAATGCTTGCTGTAACTGTACAGTTCGATCTTGTCGCAGCATGTTCTTGAACGATAGGTGTAGCAGTGAATGGACATGTTTTTTTCATTGCTCCAAGAAAGAAAGTAATGTGTTTTTTTGTTTGTTTGTTTTTTTGTTTGTTTTTTGTTGTTGTTTTTTGTTTTGTTTTAAGGGAAGTGATGATTTTTATTTATCTATTTATTCTTATACTATTCATCGTATATGATTATAGTTTTTAACTTTTTATTATATTACATTTTTTATCTTTATTTATTAGAATACATGTTGGTTCATTTTTATAAGATAGGTCGTGATATGATTCATTTGCTTTCTTTTTAAAATAAGTGTTATTTAGTGAGTCAGTATTTCTTCCATGCTTATTGAACAGGAGTAGAGGTTTATCCATTGTTTCCTGTTTTATGGTTTACCGGTCCCATGGTCTCAATGATTTAACTTTTAACCGTTCGATGACATGACTGATCAGTGGCCGAGACTTTTCATTACCATATAATATTATACTATACATAATTGACATATAATTTACTTCACGAAGGAATCATTGCAGGTTGGCAATTTTCTGGTTAATGCATCCTGACTGGTATTAAGAGCCCGAATTCTTTGAGAGGTTGCTCTGGTTTTCCGTAGCATAATATCGGGATATTTGCAGTGTGATATCGTGCATGGATTGCTACCCTTGCATGTACTTCTGGTGGGCAAACCTGAAGCCACATTATATTTTAGTCTGAGCCATCTTCTGGACAGTTTGTATCGCCATAGAAATTGACAGTGTTAATTATTTTGGCATTTTCTCCTTAAAACATAACTTATAACAGTTACAATAAAATACGAATAAACCTGTAAACAAAAAATCACCTACCCCCTTCAACTTGTCTTTTTCTAATATTCGTGGTATTCGTACCAATTTCTGAAGTGTAGAATCTTTTATCTTGGAATGTTTTCCAGGTATCTTAGTACTTTGCGAAACTAATTTAAATTCTTTTATCACTACCAATTAATTCTCTGATCTAGAATATCTTTCCCTTTATAAAAAAAATACTCTAGAATACATATGCATAGCTATGGCGTTTACATTCGGGAAAATCTTCCACTGACAAGGGAATCGTCTCTTGAGACTTCGGATTGTTTCATGTGCTTTCGACTTTATTTATTGCATTCTGTTAGCTATCTTTTTTTCTTTTGTCGCTCCCATTCTTTCCAGGTCTATAACAAAATATTTGGGAGTCTATAAATCTCTCTCTCTCTCTCTCTCTCTCTCTCTCTCTCTCTCTCTCTCTCTCTCTCTCTATCTATCTATCTACATTCATCTGCGAATATTTTTGTGTTTGCTGATTTTAATACTCATCATGTCAATTGGCTTAATCATTCTAATGGTATTGATGTTGCCTGTATTCAGACTTTCCATTTTTCCGTTGTTCAGTCGCTCAGTCAAATAGTGGATTTCCCTACTCGTTTCCCTAATAATTCAGATCTACATGTTTCTTTAATTGATTTGATCTTTATCTTCTTTCCTAGCTCTTTTTGGGCACCACAACTATGTCCTCTTGGCAATTCGAATAACGCTGTAGTATCTGTTGATATTTCTTTTGAGTCGTCTATTAGACATGAACTTTCTATTCACAAGACTTTTTTTTATGTCACCAGTGTTGGGATTCTTTTTGTGACTTTCTTCGAGACACCCCTTGGATTGATATTTCTAACCTTCCTATGACAGTTGCACACTGAGGTTTCATCTTGAATTAAAGCCGGCATTGATGATTTTGTACCTCCTCGAAAATTTCAGGTAAAACCACAATCTTCTCTTTGGTCCACACCGCTATTGCAAAAAAGTATTACTTTTTCCGGCTGTGCCAGCGTAATAGCCCCGATCACAATAAACGCCTCTTTGTGTCTGCTCCAAATAATTGTAAACATGTCCTTTGTTTACTGGCAGAATGAAGCACCGTATTTACTCTGACAAGTTTTGTCCTCGTAACTAAGGAGGCTCTGTAATAGCGTATTAAATAAGTAAATCTTCTATCCCTCCTCTCTTCACTCAAGTTGAGGTGTTAACATCTACTGATAAAGTAAAATGTTTTGCTCGTAAATTATCTTCAAATTCTCCTCTTGATTCATCTGTAGTATTTTTGCCTGACTTTCCACCAGAGTCTATTGTGCGATATGCATACCACTCCGTCTATGGTTTCTGATATCATCTCTAAGTTGGGTCCATCATAAAGCATGTGGACATGATGATATCTCTGTAATAGTCTTTAAGAAGTGTGCTCCTGAACTGGATCCTTTTCTCTCTAAACTCTATAATAAATGCCCCGCTGCTTCTTGCTTGTTGGAAATCGTCTTTAGTAACTCAAGCGAACCGTCTGATATTTCTAACTATCGTTCAATAGAACTTTTACTTCATTTTGACAAAATACTGGATGCTCTAATTAACAAATTGGTTAAGCAAGAGTTTTCCTTCAGAGTCTTCTTTCAAATAAGCAATATGGCTTTCGCTTCTCTAGGTCAACGGTGATTTCTGAAAGATATGTTTTAGATAAGAATGGTGATGCTCGGGCTGTTGCTTTGGATATCTCGAAGGCATTTGACAGGGTTTGATATGCTGGTCTTCTTCACAACCTGAAAGTTTATGGTATTTCTGGACAAATTTTTGATCTGATTCAATCTTTCTCATCAAATCGCGAAATGAAAGGTGTCTCGAACGGCCACTTTTCTAGATTTTTTTTATATCAATAAAAGTGTCCCCCCCCCCGATCTATCCTTGGACCTACGTTGTTCCTAATTTTCATCAACATCTTTCCTGATGTCATCAGTTCTCACCTCAGTATCTATGCTGATGAAACAACTATTTACTCCTGTCTTAATGACCGGAAGAAGAGATGAGATGGTAAAAAACAATGAGATGGTAAAAAACAATGAGATGGTAAAAAATAATTTCCAGAATTATTCCCAGATCTAAGCAAAAGAACGAGGTCAGAAAAAATCACAAAGATGCACGCCTTTTGTCGATCGGTTCGATAAGATCAAATTGGCAACTGATCTAAAAAATGACCTACAATCTGTTGTTAACTGGTGCAAGAAATAGCTTGTTAATTGTAACACACCCAAAAGGAAACTGCTCTCTTTTAATCGTCTTTTTCGCCTCCCATCAGCATTTCTGTTGCTAACTTCCAGGAGAGTGACTCCTTGCGCCTTATTGGGCTAACATTTTCCGCTAATATGTAGTGGAAAGATTATACTGAATCAATTGCTAGGTCTGCCAGGAAATTTGGTTTACTCTGTTGTGCTAGACAGTTTTTCTCGCCAGAATCTATCTTGCACATACCATTTGTTCATGTATTGAATATTGCTGTCACATCTGGTCTGGTGTTTCTACTATGCATTTACAGATTCCTGATAGAATACAAAGCAGAATCTGCAATGTCATCGGTCTTGGCCTGACATCTCGACTTCAGTCACTTTTACACCGCCGTAACATAGATTCAGTGTGTCTTTTCTATAAATATTTTCATGGTAATTGTTCTGATGAGCTTTCCTCTTTGGTACTTAAACTTTATGAATTTAGGCGCAGTACTAGATTGGCAGAAAGATTTCATCATGTTACATTTGAAATTGCTAGATGTAATCGCAAGTTCTATGCTAATTAGTTTCTTTTCTCGCACTTCTAAATGCCATGTCAATTGTTATCTTTTGTCTTCTTGATTCCTGTTCTTTTATTTTTCTCTCTCCTTAATGCTTTCGCTTTCTCATATTCTCTCACACTCTTGTTTTCTCATATTCTTTCACCCCTTGCGTCTTAGTGGCTTTATTGCCTTGTATAGGTTGAAATTATTAAAATAATATGAAAACCACATTTGGCTGTTGGAGCTGGTACTGCCCTCTGCTGTCTGCACTCTCCTTTCTTCCTACTGATTCACTCTCTTATTAATGTCAATTTTTAGAAATAAGCCACCAGCAACACCTGCAACAGTTTCTCATGTGGCTGGGTTGATACCGTTTAACTTTAGCATCTTTGAATCGAAGGCCTTGTACCCGTTGCAAATTCTTCGTACAGCATATCCTAGGCCGTTCTGCCTCCGACTTATAGGGCGTTTCTGGGAAAGCAGGGCGGCGGCGTTTGCGAACAGCCAAATCCCTGATCATTTTTTGTCACTTTACTATCTTCTCACTAAAGACAATATAGCATGATCAGTAAACCTATGGAAATATAATACGAAGCAAAATATCGCATATTCATGGGATATTCTTGGTTAAAAAGCGATTTATCACGCAATTTCCTGGATATGGATTTTGTTTTAACTGGTCAAACGGTTCACTGTGGCGTAATGGCCAACAAGCGAAACTTGGAGATCATAAATAGTAATTTCGGCCCTCGCTGCATACCCCATATTTTTGAGCTTGTGCCCGAACTAGGCTATGTTTAGTCAATAATAACTGCTTTTTACAAGTTGTCCATACGTGTGTAGACGTTAATGAAAAAGTTTGATTTGGAGGAAATTTTACTCGAAGCAACAAGCCAGCAAGCATCAACCCTTTTTATAATTTGAGTGATATGGTTCCTATGTACATGCACTAATAGGCATGTGTGTATGGAATGTTTTCGAAACATATCGTGTGTTTGGAGAAATGAATGATAATAGACGTATAAAAGAAATGACATGTAATTATTTCAGGTTACAAATTGAACAGCGATCATTTTTCAAACCCGTAAAATTGGCTTTGTAAATAAGAAACTAAGATTCCATTTTATTAGAAAATTAGGATGTAATTAAGTACTCACCAAAAATAATTATGCTTTGTACAATTTTTAGGGTGTGTCTAATTTGTTAAAATAAACACACAAAACACAGGGGATCGTTGGCACTTAGTATGTAACAAAAGCAAAAGGAGTTTTATTATCACTATGCTTTTGATGGAATAATATTACATTTTTTTTCAGTAAGTCGATATCTTATTTTTTTTTGTTTTTACTTTTTCTCAATGGTTTATTGTATGCTTTTGGGATAATCTAGATTTTCTTGTTATTTTTTGTGTGGTTTCTCGCAAAGTATGCGTTGGGTGGGAAAAAAAAGGAGGAATATGTTACCCATTTCTAGGAAAAAATCTTATTGAGTTAAAAAAAAATAGAGAAATCAATTATAATGGTATTGGAGATGTGCACCCGATGCGCCTTTGACAGTACTAATGAGACAGATAATGTGACTGGCGATTTTATTTGAAAACTTGTAAATATTTCTGATGTCATTTGTCAAGAAAATGCAGGAAGAAAAAGATTCATCGTGATAATTGTCAACTAAGTGTCAGTTGGAAGTGTATCTTAATTCAAATGTTTGATTTATAAACTATATTATCTTCTGACGAAGGAAAACCAGAGAGACTGATTTCTGATCGAAACATAAACAAATTGGAACAATTTGAGTATAATAACTATTTTAGCAGAAGGTAATAGCAAAAACGAAAAGATAACGTATTTCCAAAAAAAAAAAAAAATTGTCAGAGTCGTCCATGTGCACGATAAATTTGTTGAATTTCATTATATTTTAGGCTTCATTTTGAGATTAATTTTGTAAATGCACTTTGGACGGAAATTCGTGTACTTTTTGCGACATTGAAGATAAATCTAATCCACTCAAACGTTTGGGCGATGTCCCTTGCAGAACAATGACCCTTGTTTATACGTTATATATAACCACTCGAGTATAGACAATATATCACCAGTGAAAGGGGCTGCAGGACAAGAAAGAACATCTTGAATAACTATCATTACTTTTTACGTTCAACATTTGTTAAGGGCTAGGTGAACCATTGTTTTAGAAATAGAAAACAATGATTCTATCTTACACTGCAGAAGTGTCAAAGGAGTGGAGAAAGCTATTCTAAAGATGCTGTATGTTATAACAGTTAAAACGATTATGCAGTGATGCAGTACTTAAAATAAACTCAACAACATCAGCATGAAAACTGTTAATGAAAAAAGACGTGTCGTGCAAAAAGTCATATGTGTTAAATAATAATAATCTAGCAGACTATTATTGTTTAGAGAATTGTATTTCTCCTCTGACTTCCTCATTTTGACCTTTGAGGTAAAATACAGGAAAACAAAGGAAGTCGTTTTTGATTGGCTAAAACTAGTGCGGAAATGTTAGAGACAGAAAGGGATTTCAGGTAGTTAAGTTTTACACATCGAAGAATGTAAACGTGTTATTTCGCTCGCCAATATGAGATGAGATAGCAATCCCACTGGCTAGTTAAAAATGTACACGTCTACATGATGAATAAAACTAGATAAGTTTAAAATTCCTTTGTTGAAGTTGTCTTTTATCTCCGAACGAAAAAAAAACAACAGCGTTCAGCGGCCAAGAGAAGATGAGAGAAGAAAGAGAAGAGAGAGAAGATCCAACAATCTGAGTGAATTGACACCGTCGCCCTTATCGGCACACCCCTCTTACCATCATCGTTTGCCTCGAACCTTTTCTTTTTCTCTCCTTTCATCGTCGTTGCTACCCTGTGAGCAACGACCCAACACTTTCGATGCTGAGGCACGTGACCGTTTTGGAACGAACATTCATTCAAAGTTCTTTGGACGATTGGCATTTTGCCGCCAGTCAAACGGCCACGTGACTCATCGAAAACTCGTCAAAAAGTATCCACGAGTGAGAGACGACCTGCGGACATCGAGTTGGGAAGACGTGTTATTACACATCTGACTCTCACTCTCTCTCTCTCTCCCTCTCTCTCTCTGCACATAAGCTTCAACCGTCTAGACTTCGGCAATAGACCTTTTCATAGTCAATTCGTTTGCCGAAGCTACCTTCCATCAGTGTAGACGGTCTTAGCCCAACTTTCTGACCTAACCTCCTGTCTCGAGCAACAAGCATTTTCGTCACGAACGAACGGACCTGCCTAAACAACAAGTAAGTCAGAAATCCACAAACTTCCACACGTGGTACCTATACTTTCTGGATCTCTCCCTCTTTTTGGTCTATACTTCTTACAGGCAACGAACGCTTTTGCAGCTCAGTAATCTTGGTAATTTTCCTTGGTCGAAATCTCACAACCAACCGAATTAGTTCTGTCATTAAATTGCTTCTGATCTTTCCTTTTCTATTAAAAAAAAGGAAATTATTAGGTAAAGTTGCCTCCCTTATACTGTTTATTCAAAAAAATAAAAGAAGAAAACTTTCCATATAACCTCCACGTTTTGGACTATTTCTTCTCCAAGGACACTTGGCGCCAACATACGTTTTGACGCGCAACAGCCTCCGACCATTGAAGTCAGCCTCACATTGTGCTGATTTGGTTGAACCGCCTTTCCAGAGACCAAGAACTCTACTTTGCATTCCCTCTGCTACTGCACCATGCCAAATTTATTGTTGAAAAAAAAATTACATCTTGTTATGCCTTTTCTTATCTAATGATGTTTGTCCACTTTTTACATTGCTAACTTGTTATGAACCATTGATATTCTAAGGGAATATCAAAATACTCTTATACGGAGAAGTTTGGTAGGCCATTCGCAAGAAACCGCACTGGGCAAAGGGCTATGCAACATATACTCAAATTGGCGTTGTGACCAAGAGACCCCACCCCAGAACAATACATGAACATAAGAAAACCTGTATGATAAAGTGGACATTGATACAGATGTGTTGCAGTCTTAAAGAATTCGTCTACTGATCAAGAAAACAGAAATATACTGTTTTTATCAACAGAATCAACTGGACATTAAGAGGGTGAAGATGCAATGCTCATGTTTGGAAGTACTTGCACAGAACAGAACTTCGATGTTGTTACTGACTTGAAAGAGTCACTCTTATGGAGAATCTCTATTGAAACTCTACATTTGTGAAGAGGAGGACCATCAACAACGAGATGGTCTATTAGAATTTTCAGAGTTATTCATAGATCTAAGCAAAAGAAAAATGTCATACAATATCACAAAAATGCACGACATTTGTCGATTTTGTTTTTCGTTATGTACTCCTTCCGATCACAAAGTAGATGAATTGAATATAGAAAAGCAGGATGTAAAAGCAATCACAGAGCCAACAAATTACTGCATTCCCATCGTCTCTGTTCCAAAGTCAACTAGAAAATCGACGCTCATCGAGAGTGTACAAGAGAAAATTGTTACCTTCCTGTGACTGATAACTCATGTGTTTCGTGGCCAAAAATATTTCAAGAAATTGAAAAGATGATTTGTGACAATGAAAGAACTTCATTCATAGCCACCACAGTCAACAGATATTCAATGCTGAGATCTTTTTTAGCGGAAAGATCGCCACTATGTGCCTACAGTAGAGAACTATTCTCAGTGGATTTCAATTAACCATCTGAAACAAACATCTACTGATATTGAACACATCAAATCAACATTTGCCCGTCATAGACTTCCGAAGACAGTAATATTGGATAATGAACCTTGGTTTAGTAATTGATATTTTGTGCAATTTGCAAAATCGCACTGCTTCACTCATCTGAGAAGTTCGTTGCGTCTACATGAAGTTGAAATATTTGTCAAAATTATCAAAATACTGTTGAACAAGCCTCGAGATAAATAACTCTTCTGAATTATTGTTCAACACCACTATAACATGGAGGAAATCCGGAAGAGCTGCTAATGGGAAGAAAGCTAGGAACCAGAGTATCAGCTGTTCAAATGTATCTGAAGTAGTAATGCAAAAAGGTTTCAGGAAACTAATGCACAACAGCTGCTGTTGTTACAAGTTGACAACATGTTAGTAGAATAGCACAAAATTTAATTTCTATAGCATCTGTTGATGATTAGTGCAAACATTGAACAAAAAATGTTTGTTTTTTATTTCAAAAATTGAATCTACTTCAAAACAAGTTCGCAGAGTGTATCAAGTTCATGATAAATGAACATTTTATTAATTTTTATTTAAGATTAAAGATAATTTATTTTTAAACATAAATACCAATTTCTTGATTATTGCATTGCTGGTGTTCCGTATTCTTTAAATTTAGAAAAAAAAATCACGCGCTTTTGAAGTCAGAGATTATTGTAGAAAACTATAACCAGTTGATATTAATTGAGCTATAGAATCCTCTTTCCTCAGTTTGCCTGTCCCCCAAGGTCTGCTAATTGTCAATTTGTAGCCAAGAGGTACATCAAGATATTCATCATTATGATAACAATAGTAGGTAACATCAAAATGGGTGCGTTTTTTCACGAAATAAAAGCAAAAGATTGTTTTTAAAAATTGCAAAATATCAAGGAATTATCAAATTTAAACGGAATTTTTGGTACATTAATGAATGAATTATAGGACCGAATAGGTAATTTCATTGTTCAAATTCAACCTTGTTGAAATATTGTTTTTCCGAACCTTCCCAAAAATCATTCAATAAAACTAAAAAATATTTTTTCCGCCACTGGGTGGCATGCCACTAGCGTTTGCCGCTTGTGGTTCGCTGTCGTTACCACTGGCGGCATGAGTGTAGGGTTTATCAGTGTAATTTTGAAATTAATCTCATTGCTGTTCGTAACACTAATTCTTTTTATTGAATAAAGATATGTTTGAAGAATCTAAAAATGTAAAATTTTCGTGTGTGAACCTTTTAATTTTTTTTACCTTTTTGAAAGTTAGATAATTTTTTTACGAAAATTCAAAAAGGAAATAATTTTGAATTGCTTTCTTTAACTACTCTTTCCTACCAGAAGAGTATTTCAATAACTCTTAAATTCAGAATAATAAAAACTCATTGGGTGCAAATAAATATTTTATATCTTCAAACAGGTAAGAAAATAATCAAAAATTAAAGCAATGTTACTTCATTGCTTTAATTTTTGATTATTTCAAAAGTATAATCTAGTTTTTAATTAACTTCTTTTTATACTTATAATGAAGTATAAAAATAAAATTATTCCTTCAAATAAGTTTCATAAAAATAAAACAAATTATATTCTTAACTAGTGGTTATATAAGATTAAAGATAATATATTTTTAATCATAAATACTATTACAGACAAGCGTGTGGTTGCAAGAAATACGACAACAACAGAAATAGATTTACGTGATTTATTTCAACAGGAACGTGTGGTTTTGGGACGGCTACCTTGTTCATAAGCCGGCTTCCGATCTGGGTTGATCTCTCATAGTAGTTCTCACTGGTTGGCGTGGCGCTCCTCCTGCTGACTGCTGCTGGCTGCCCAGACTGACCGTGACAGATCTCTTCCTTGGCCTCCTGTTGACTGCTAGTACTTCCCCGTGTGACCCCTTTTATGGCGTTTTTTATGGCTTAACAGGCTCGAAAAACGACGCGAGTGTAATTAGGAAGGAAGCATTTTTATTTGGTCGAGAAATAGGAACACTTTAAAATATTATTTTATTTTTCGACCGGAACTCGTGCGTCGGGCCTATACGTAAATGACGATAATGGTCAACTTGTGACGGGGCCTTGTCCCGTTCACACCCGGCTCTCGCTCTTGAGTATGTTAGTTTATTTGCCCGCAAATCAGCCGAGATATGTCTTATTTTATTTTGTGACAATACCAATTTCTTGATTATTTTACTACTGGTATTAGTTTTAATTTTTTTTTTAAATCGCATGATTTGAAGTCAGTGATAACAGTAGAAAATTATTTATGATCATGGGGTACCGTGCGTAAAAAAAAAGTTATTTTCCTAATATTTTAAGCAAAGAGTAAGCATTAATTTTAAAAATCTCAGTTGATCCTTAAATTTACTAATTTAGTTTCAACAACTATCTTGGATAGTGGATTTTTAAGAGATTTTTTAAATTTGTTGTTTACAAACATGTATCGTTTATAATGGCAGTTCAATGAGTGACGAGTAAAAACCAGTCACTGTTTTCAAAATGCCGAAAAACTTTATTTATTTACATACGGATTTTTTTTTCTTTTAATACAAATTTAGTGTTAGGCTATTATCTTATAAAGCCAAAATTTAACTTCAAAGAAGACGTTTAATTTAATTATTTAAAATGTATTTTGCGTTTTTATTTTTATTAGGAAATTGGTGGCGGTACCTACATTTATGCGTATGTGTAGTGGTAGAAAAATAAATGTATAAAAATATAACAAAAAAACAAAAAATTTCACCATCTCTGTACCAGGAAGTCATATTTCCACAAACCAATCAGTGACGCTTTCAACAGTATAGTCTAACCAACTAATCAGATTCATCCCAACCATCATAGTCTAGCGAACCAATCAGAAACAAGATCTGTTCTCAATCTAGATATGAGTTCATTGATCGTAGATCAATTAGAAATCATGCGGCAGTTTCGAAATGGATCTCTTTTTCTCGTTAGTATACGAATACAAGGAGACGGACAGTCGAACTAAATCTTCGATGAAATTATTTTATCCATTCCCGGAGCTGCGGCCATTGTAACATACTCAACTGCCTAAATGCCGCACTTAAACGCGATCTAGACTAAGCGCGACCAACACCAAAGACTTCAACGGTTGAACCAGGGTATGAAGAGTATAAGGTATAAGTCCAGCGGCAGGCGAGAAACTGGACGACTTGCCAATATTGTGGACTCCAAAACCGTACCTCATGACCATCTGATTAGGCTGCGCTTTCCAAACATCAAACAACATGGGGAGTAATTTTATATCTACGGTTTGCTACTCCCTCTAGTCAGGGAGTACTTGAACAAATCAGTTAGCCCCTTTTTTCGTCCAAATCCGAGCTGCTCGGCCTGGGGGCCTGGATCAAAGCACGCTACCTTTGTGAGCTTCCGGTGTTTTTTCGAGAGAATACTCTTCGGCGCGATCCCGTCTCCGCGGTCGATTCGCCCTGTGAAGTCGTATCACTATTCTGACTCGGCCCTAACCGATACAACGAATCTTCGTGCGACATCGATCTACCTGCTGCTGTTTCCAACAATTCTCCCATCCGGCAGTCGACCAGATACCGCCGCCAACCAACTCTACATTCGTTTCGCTGATACGACCGAAATCAACTACCCCTGAAAAAAACCAAAAAAAAAACCAGTCATACAGGACCCGACACCGATACAAACATATTTCTCCAGAGTAAACTCTTGTACATTTTGGATAAATAAAATCGACGTTATTGTTTCTTAAACCTTTGTCTCATTATCTTAGCTGTTCACACCTTTCTTCGTAAAGCTTTCGGGGGCGACATCCTTATCGGCCTCGCAACAGACATGATACAGAAAGTGTCACTCGAAATTATAACAGTCAGCGGCAGTTCGTTGCTGTTTCATAACTAGATTTTGCATGTCTTATTTCATGTGCCGCAGAGGAAGGTCATAAAATCTAGTGTGTGTTACTCCCTGGCAAATTGAGGTCCACCTTAAACACATTCATGTCATCAGCACTTTCTTCTCACTGGTTTTCTTTCACCTCCAACCAACTCTGGCAAAGCTAAACTGCGATAGGAAATGGATGTCGGGAAAAGGTTTTGGCGAAACTGGAATCTTCTAGTCCTGAACTCCACGTTGACGGCGAATTTAGTCATCAACGCCACCATCACCATAAAGGAATCTATCAGCAAAGAAATTGAATTCTTTGATAAGAGATAAGCTGATGCGATCTACACAGTCTCGCATAGACACCTGCATAAACGATTTACACCGGTTAACTCATACGTATACACAGTCCTGCGTTGATACGCACAGTTCCTTCTCCCCTTTACACTACCCGCTGCTTGTTGAAACGAACATCGGTACACTAAGCTACCCGACACCAAAATAGAATTACAACTGCGTATGTATGTATGTATGTATGTATGCCCGAACGCACAGATATGTATCTGCGCCTAGCATCGAATTACTTATATAGATGTGTTGGTGTGAACTAAAATGCGTACACCTGTATGCATGTGTCTATACGTATGATAGTACCACTCCATACAAACACAGAAGCAGATTTCCACACCCACCACCAAACAAGCATAAATAAATCAATTCTTAAAAATAAACCAGTTTGTCTGATGATCGCAAAAGCGTGAAACCCAGAGTCAAAAACTCATATCCATACAACTTATATATATATTCTCCCGGAGTCTCTTTCGTATGCATCAGGACATTTACATTTGAACTCTCGAACATCACTCTATTGTTCTGTATATATAGTATTATATAAAAATTTATTTTGTATGTATTAACGCCCTGTATATTTTTTAACCATTACTCAAGATACATAGTGGGAAACGATGTTACAATATGCCTTATGTTATAAGGTAAGATTTTAACTAGCAAAAAATAAAAATAACTTAAAACAAAACAAAAAAAAACCCTGCAATTTAAGGAAGAACAAAGGGACCCGAGCTAAATGCTTGCAAGCTATCAGTTCCGTTATATTTTTCATTCTTCAATCTTGATGTCTCTGCATATGTGTGCTTATTTCTTTAGTCAGTTAATTTAATCATTTTGTCTAATATTGACTAAAAACAAATTATTTTACATGCCACAGATAGAGTATATAAATACAAATGAAGGAGACATATTTATCGAAAACTGTATGTGAGGCATTCATCAGATTCGATTCAGTATAACAGACTGCATTATCTGTTGAATGAAAAATATACAAATATGTCATTGGATTATCATCCAAATATATGTAATATCGACCAGCTGATTTTAACTGCGTGCTATGTTTTGTGATCTAGACCATTTGAAAGATTTTTGAAATTTTCGAATATAGGTTGTAGTACTGAACCACACGCTCGAAGTCTATTTGTCTTTTTAAACAGAAACGCCATTGATATAGATATAAAAACTGCCGTAGTCAAAGAAGACAACATCAGAAACAGTTTAGAATTGAATATGTCTGTAACTTACATCTATGTTTTGCACATCCATTAAATTTGTTTGGAAAATGTCTGCTGTCAAGAAGCATTCATTTTCTTCGAAAACCTGAACTCAATTTTTCTGCTTCTACCTATAGGTGGGAGTTCCTGCAGCATTATTTGATGGTGATTATTGCTGTGGTCACTGCTACTAGTTCAATTAAAACAGTGGTAACCATAATTTTCATATGGGTTATCATCATTTCTAGATGTAAAAGGAATAAATTTCAAAACGTAAATATTTTCCTATAATTAATAAAGGCTCAACGAAAGAGAGAAATATACTAGTGTGTATAGATCGGAAAAGGAAGAAAATGCATTAAAAACCTCGCCTCCCGCGGATAGGAGGAAGAAATTTTCCAAGCGGGGACGAACCTCGTCATGACACTGCTACTGCATTCTCGGTAGAAAGGGGGAAATAGAAAGAGGAATCTAAGATTGGTCTTTTTTTTTTTATCCCTGAAACTACATAACGTAACAAATTTGGCAGAGCAGTTGGATATAATCCCCCCCCCATTCTCATTTGCCCATTGTGAAAAGAATGTCATATATAAGGTATGCAAGTGCAACAAGGATACATTTACACAGCTTTTCTTCAATAAAACAAAACGGATAACATTTCAAACAATAATCAAAAGGCAAAGTGTCGACAACAGCCTCGCGGACTACTTACTACCACGATGAATTTGGAAGCAGAAATAGTAGTCATATTGTTGAATCAAGTATAACAATGTTTTTAAAAGACCTTATTTTTCTGGCCAAGACAAGTTATGCATTTTATGAATCTTTACATGACATATATAGTAGACGGGATAATATACATGAACTATACAATCTACCTTTTCAGACATTGAGTAAAAAAGCAAACAAGGATCTGACTGAATGTGAAGATTATGGTAAGATGTAAAAGATGCTTAAATATAATAGAGGGTACTTCATATAAAACAGTTTAAGCCAAATCTCAATCTTAACTTCTTTGAAACTGAACGGAACAGCAAATTATTGATTATTGCAAACAACTTGGTCAAGGTTCTTGGTGGTCGTGTTCGATCAAAAAGTGCTAATAAATTGAAATCTGGGAAGTTTGATAGGGCAACACAATGAAGTCATTTCATATTCCTGAAACCATTTTTGCACTATTCGTTCAGTGTAGCAAAACGCATTGAATGATTTCATCATAGCTTCCTCAGACTCGTCTCGTCTTCAATAATACTTAGATCATTGTTGCACTAGAAAGTAGACCGTGTAGAATCGTACGCAGCCGAACATTAAACAAACTATCATATTACATCCACTGGCTTCAACGAAGACATGCTGTTACCATCTCTTCCCACACGTTCCTTATCATTTTCTTTTAATCAGGAGTAAACGAGATTCATAGAAACAGGTGACCTTCTTGCACTGATACAATACGGATGGACATTTATAAGTATTTTGACTGCCCTGCGGCTATGCAATTTCATAAATAACAAGGATCTATATACTATATATTGTGACACATTCCTACCTTCACCTTGAAATCTCTCTGAAATTTGTGTCATAGAAGCTCTTCTTTGGGTTTCCGTTTATTTCTCACATTGACGTATTGGATGCCAATCCTCCTCGGATCACGGTTGATAGTTATTCACCATAATTGAACATGTGCACTTAACAAGCTGTACTGTCGAGAAAATTCTCCGACTCCATCTTCAGCATAACAATTTAGTCTTTATGAAAATCACTCATCTTCCTTCTTGTGTATAACTGCGGCATTCAACACATCAAAATGAAGTCCACGCGGTCGGTTTTCCTACTTATGTACTTTATGTGCAGTTGTTGCAAGGCAGTAGCTGTTATTCTTGCAATATGTTATTGGTCATAATGTTTTGACTTATCAGTCTATGTTTATGTGTGTATGTATTTGCGCGCGTGTGTGTGAGTGAGAAATATAAACAGAAGAAAAACATAAAATGAGTCTAAATTATTGATTTAATTTTCAACTTTAAGATCGTTACATCTTAATCAAAAATAAACTAAAAACTTTAGAAGCATTAAGACTAAACGTTTGACTTTTCAGTTATTCAGAACGAATATCTTTGACACAAGACCAAGGCGTTAACCTTAAATGTATGTCATAACAATTAAACATGAATGTTAGAAAATCATCTGTAGATCAAATTCTCTGCATTAATATCTACATAATCAACCGACAAAATTATGCTATAATTAGGTAATCTAACATTTTTAGCAATTATTTACTAATGCTTGGTGCTTTGGATCACGACTATATATAAAAAGAAAGATCTGGAGACTTTCTATGTAACAAAAAAATTGAAAGGAATCAGGAAATGTTATTGAAAGGAAATCTGTTTTCTATGTTTCTAGTATACACGGTTTTTTATTGTAAGTTGATTCTTTTTTACTTTTGTCTTAATATGTGCATTCGTCAATTATATGTGGAAGAGTCACTTTGGGAGAAAAAAACTGTAGTTTAGAATCTATTACATTGTACAACAACAAAAAATCGCAGGCAGACCATTGCGTTACGCTCATATGCACTTGAAAATATTCTGTGAATGATTAGTTTATATGCATATCTGTAAATGTATATTGCTTTGAAACTGGCTTACTTCCGTTAAGATAACTCTCATGGTGTCCCCTTAATAATCTGAGATTGAAATTTCTTATAAAATGTTTCAGCTTTCCTGACTGCCTTTTTTTGTGGGTCTTAATTTTTTTTAATGTTTTTTTTTTTTTTTTGTGTGTGTGTGTGTGTGTGTGTGTGTGTGTTGTGTGCGCGCGCACAACACAAAAAGCTTTAACTTTTTTCTTTATTTCAGTCATTTACTTTCAACAACAGTAATTCGTAGGTTAGCTTTGACCATTTTCTCTGAAATTAAATGATTTATCAAATCATATAATGATGCCAGCTGTCACGGAAGATGTTCACTAATTTTAAATTCCATCTGAACCTTCTTGTGTTCATTTCGCATTTCGTTCATGAGGTACTTGCACCAGTGGGAAGTGATTAAAAAAATACAATTTCGAAGTGATTAAAAAAATACAATTTCGAAAATTGATTTTCAAAACAGGCATACCCTCTTCATTTACAAAATTACTATAACACTATCTCCCTACATACCTCATTTGATTTTGTGCCAGACTTAACCTAGAAAATATTCATATTTATAAATTCAGAAGAAATTTATAAATAACAATAACATATTACTTATTAATTAAATTTATAAATAATGAATTCATAAATTTATATTTTTAAATTTATGTATAAATTTATTTCAGTGTCAAGTTTTTCATAGTCCCAGTGAATTAAAGTAAGTGAATCAGACAGCCATATTGATAAGCCTTTTTTTACTTAAATATTCGTAAATATTTAAGACGAATATCATAATGACATAAAGTAAATCATTTTATTTTAATAAGAAGCAATAAACACTTGTTCAAAACTGAACAAAACTGAAAAGTGCAACTATAAAATAGGTATCTCCAAAAATGTGCTAAAAAAGATTTTAAAAAATACCTCAACAAACCTAATATAAACAAAATTTTATCGTCAAAATCTTTGTGTTATAATAAAAAGGAAAGATCGAAGGTTTTTTTGACGTAAAAACATTTTTTTAAATCCTTTTTAGAACCTTGGAAATTTTGGTTAAAAATCTTGTTTTTCTGGCATCAACGCGGGACCATAAAATTGTACGGGTTGAGTATCTTTTTGTGGTCAAAAACATTGATTTGGAAATCCTTGCAAAAATCAGTTAATTGTCGGATTTTAATGAAATTTCCAGGATTTATTTAGAATTGAATGAAATTATTTTTTAAATGTTTTTTTTTTTTTTTTTAAGAAAATCTTTGGGAGAGTATTTTTTTTACATCTACTCATTTAATTTTATGAAATTTCAAGAGACTCTTTTTGTATCGTTTATACTAATTATAAGGACACATCCTCGGAGAATTTAAAATAAATCATTGAATTTTGATTTTGTCAAACAGGACACTACTTACAGAAAATCTGCTCTAAATTGTAAAATAAAAAATTGTTATCTAATTAGAACAAATTATTAATTAAAAATGCAACTAATTAATTAAAAATGCAATGAGTAAGACATTATTTAATTAGAACAGATCTTTAATTACTTTTATGAATAAAATATATTATGGACACTACTGTCTAAAGAAAAATATGTTTTTCAATGAATAAGGAATTTTTACAAGAATATTTTTCATGTTTTAAAATTTTACTTCGAATAATTTATAAGCTTTTAAATCTTAAAATTCTGTATTAATTTGTAGCGGTCAAGTAATATTGTTATTAAATTAAAGCTATATTTACTAATCATAAATGGAAAAGCTCACTACAACTTAACAGCCCCCAGTATTTTAAAAAGAATTTTGAATTTATTTTATGTGTTCATAAACGTGATGATTTTTGTAAATGTCCACACACGACATTATCAGAAAATAAAAGCGGTAACTTTACTAAAGTAAATTTAAAATTTATTGGTTATTTTCGAGCATTTCCTCAACGAGCGTCTTTGTAAAGTACTTAAAATTCAATAAAATATTAGATTGCTTATGATGTTTTCTTAAATTTTAAAGATTACTGGGAATTTAAAAATATATATAATAAAATTATTTTTCACGTTGTATTCGTCAATTAATTTTTACAGTTAAGAACCTCCTAAATACATGCCAACGTGTTAAAAAGGTTTTCTGTGATAAAAGTAATATTTATTTCATTCAGTTTAATTAAAATTTAAATCAGCTAATATCCCTCAAATAAAGTTTCAGTGAAGTATATTCTAGTTTTGAAAAATTTTAATATGCTGTTGACAGATTTGTCAAAATGGATGCTTCTATCGATTTTACTGATGAGAAAAATATTACAATCAATTTAAATTCGGTTTGAAATACCGTAAAGTATTTTCCTTATAGGAAATATTAAATTTAATCTATTAGCTTGGAATTAAAACTAAAATAAAAGATTCAAGAAAATTTTCTTTTTTTTTTAAATGCATTTTAAACCTTAGGTATGTTTTTTTTTAATGTAACTATATTAACGGGATTAAATTGAAAAAAAAAAGTTTTTATAAAATGTCATTGGAATTTACGTTGATACCACCTCAAAGATTTACCTCATATGGTAAAAAATGTTATTTAACTGTTTGCAAAATGTATTTATTTTTATTTGTTCCTTCACTGAAAGCTAATAGTGTAAACATATTTTGTAACTACTACGTCATTTCATTACTGACGCGTTCTTATATTTTTTGATACTTTTACTGAATAAAATTTATGTAATTCTGCGCTCCTAGAATATCTATCTATATGGGCGGCGCGCCTTACCCCCGAAACACACACCCGGGGAAAGGGGACTTTTTGGGGTCCTCGTTGTGGCCTCTGCCATTTTTTCAGCACTATTTTATGGCCACACGCTATCTTTTTCAAATTATTTTTAAACTGACCTTATATTATCAGTTTTTTATTCCGAGATCATTCACTAAGAAGGATCACTGATTTTTAGGATAATAGTAATACTAACCAGAAGTCCACAGCTAATAATTAAAATAAAATTTGTAGTCCTTACTTTTTTACATTTATAGAAAGTTAAAACTGAGAAGTGATCACATAAAAAATAAAAATGTTTAATTTTAACACATGAAAAATTTTCCCTAAAACTGTAATACTCTTTTTAAAACATATTTTTAAGACAATCCCGTTTGTGTTGTGCTATAATCTTTTTTTCAGTAGAGATGCGCCGACTGTTAACCTTTATGTAAATGTAAAAATTTGTGAGTTAGACATTTTTTGAGTAAAATTTAGTCGTGAATTTTTCTTTTTTTACCGAGATATATTACCCTCTAAATTGATTTAAAAGAACCGTTCAGAAAGAAAATTACAATTTAAAAATCAAGCGCTACTGAAATTAGCACTTCTGTCCCCACTTCCCAGTTGAGAGGTTCGGGGTAGTAAAGAAAAGCCCTGTTGATTATTCTAGTTGATGATTGACAATATAACTTATGTAGAAAAAAAGTAAAAAGTACAAATAAATAAATAACGCTGCTGAAACTAGCCCTTTTAGGGCCCCAACCTCGTCGGGGTTCCTGCGCAGTACGCAATGCATCGTCCATGCAGATAAACGATGTATATTATTGGCTGATGACTGATAATGTAACGTCAGTTTAAAAATAATCAAAAAAATAGCGGATGGCCATAAAACAGTACTGAAAAAAAAATGGCAGAGGCCACAACGGCTCCCCCACACAAAAAGTACCCCCACGGTGATTCTGCTGGTTCTTTTTATCGGAGGATTTAAGTCTGAACTCATCTTCGTTCCGATCTTCCAACTCCATATCGCATTCGTGCTTTTGCCATCAGATGCACTCATCCTTTCCTCCTACTAGGGTTCCTCCTCATTTTTTACTTCTCCGTCGTCAATTCTAAGTCTTATTTGAACAGAGTGGGACAGTAAATTCTGTCTGTGTTGTTATTACAGCTGTATTGTGTCCCTTTTGTATAATAAAGTTCGATTTTCGGGACTTGATTCTCTGTCTTTTTTGTACCACTATGTTATAGGTGATCTAATTTGTTTTCTCATCAATACAGAGGGACTTTGCACTCTACCTGCATTGTGAAATGGTTCTATAACTTAGTAATAGTCTTGGGAGGTAACTATCTATGGTGTCTCTGGATGGTAAAAATGCCTTCATCCTTATTTTCACCATCTACACCATTACCTCTGCAATTCCATTCGATTGCGAGTGGTATGGTGATGTTTTATAATGGAGGCATCCAATTTGTTTTAACCACGAACACAAAGTTTCATCAAAAAATGTTGGTGCATTGTTAGTGACTAACGTTTCTGACATCCTGTTTCGGGAAATTTTCTCGTAATATTTATTTTATTGTGGCTGACTTCCTATCTTGAACTCTAACAACATCGGACCACCCAGAGAATGAGTCGACCAAAATTAAAAATAGTTATATACTTTTAAGATGTGCATGATTCCCCGACGAAAGAGAAAAACCGGTAATACACAGAAATACCGACGGACCGGAAATGCTAAAAACTGAAGTGGAACCTGCACTGGCCACATTGAACAGAAACAAAGCGGCAGGGCCAGACGGAATTGTAATAGGGATGCTGGCAGCCTTAGAAGATTTCGGCACAGACAAGATTACAAAAATAATAAATGATATCTACAACAGTGGTGATATACCGGAAGACCTAAGCAGATTTATTTTCATAGAACTGACTTAGAAACCAGGTGCAAACGAATGTGAACTCCAACGAACAATCAGTCTAATGAGCCACCTAACAAAACTTATGATCCGAATTCTGATAAACAGAGCGCGCAGCAGAATCAGGCCAGAGATAGAACGAGAAC